TCTCTCTCTCTCTCTCTCTCTCTCTCTCTCTCTCTCACTCACTCACACACACACACACACACACACACACACACACCTCTCAATTGTGCAAATAGCTGTGGAAGAAAAAGCTGATTCATTTCCATATCCGTACATGCTAGAAAGCTGATCAGGGCTCGTTATCACCTGGAATATCAGCTGGAAGCTTTACTTGACATATTTAAATATAAGAGCAGGAATACAAATAACAATTATTAATGGTCAGTGTGTGAGAGCTAGGGATGACATTTCTGTTCAGAAAGAACAGCACTGCAAGAGAACACAACAGAATTGCAATCTAATTGGATATGAATTCTGAACTACTGTTCTTCTTGCTCAGAAGCTTGACAACATCTTTAGATAGCTATTATTTCAAAAATACTGGAAATATGTGGCTTCTATCAGAGTTCATTCTCATTTCTGTGGAAGCCTAACACACATTCATCTTCTCCTAAATATAGTACGCCATATATAGTACGCCTAAATCTTGTCCTAGAAGAATTATTTACTTCTCATACTATCTATAATTTCTCTCTATGCTGATTTTTGCAATGCCTAAAAATAGAAATAGTGTAACAAAAGTTTTTACATTTATTTATTTATTCATTTATTGCAAGCATTTATATATCTAACTATATCAAACATTGGGACTTAACTAAGGCTACAACAAAATAAACAACAGAGAGAGAGAGAGAGAGAGAGAGAGAGAGAGACAGACAGACAGACAGAAAAACAACAACAAAACTATGTATTAATAAAAAAAACCAATGTGCAAAATGACAAATTGATTGAGTATATTAAAACATGATATAGAGAGGATATTCAAGAATTCTTTCTATTTCAGTTCAAAATTAAATAGAACGATGTTTTGGTTAAAGTTTATGGTAGAGTAAAAATATAGTACCTAATGAATTGAGTTTGAGCTTTTCCTTGTATCTTTATGGGTATATTTTTGCAGAATATTTTTGCAACACTACAAAAATAATTTGTTACGAGAATATTTTTTTACTCCCCAAATTAGCCCACAGATGTGGCAGTATTCAAGTACTGATAAGATCCAACTCTTTTAGCCACTGTTTCTTAATATTCTCAACTTTAAGATATGTGGACCTCAGTTGTAGAATTCTTCAGCTAAATTGCCGGTTGGGAAATTCTGGAAGTTGAAATCCATTCATCTTAAAGTTGATCAGACTGAGAAACATTGCTCTTAGTTTTCAGATTTTGCTATCTACTTTATAAATGTGTATATCTAAAATTTCCAGAATAATATGCCATTAAAAATAAAAGGAACTGAATCCAAAAGCAATGGGCCTATCACATCCACATGATAAACATGCTACCACTGTGCATAAGATAAAGAAAATTGCATCATAACTTTGGAAACCCTCAATTTTTTAGCTTTGGGGTATGTTCTCTAAGGAAATAAGATGACATAAGTACAACAGCCTTCATACAACTTAATCATTGTGTGTGGTGAACAGTTGATGCTATTTCAGACAGCGCATGCTATAATTACTTTAAATGATGAGTGAAAGTTGTTTCCATTGCTGTGGAACAGTTTAATCCACCCATATCTAGGGAAATCAAATATCTCAGAAACCTGAGGCAAATATGCCAATTATATGCACCTCTAATTGAATTGGTGCAACCTAATGCAGAATATACATACTTTAAACAATAGATAAAAGTAAACTCATTTGAAGTTGGACACAGGTTTGATTATATCTGGGCTTGCACAGAAAGTCAATCATTGCATGTTTGAAGACGTTCCATTGTTCCCATTCACATATGTCTCATCAACATAGACTTCCCCCTTCATGTTTTTGGAGGCACCTATATAAAAAAACACAGCTGCCAGGGATACACATTGTCTAATCTGTTTGAGTAATGATGTGACAAATAAGTGGAAATAAAAACTTTGTCAAAATAATAAAGGAAAGGAAAGTGAGAGTGATTTGAACCCCTCTGTGGTGCAATAGGGCAGCCTTTGTTTAAGCACTCCAATTACTTTTATTCTTCTGATTTTGTTATTATTGCATGGAAGTGAAATGTGTCTAATATATAACTTCAGTGGAGCTCTCCAGCTGAATAAGCCAAATTCCTGTTATTAAATGTGCAGCAGACTAAACACTAGTGTTAAATATCAGGAATCAGATTACACCATTTGGATCTCTGCTTGTCACATATCTACACTGTAGATTAATCACATTTGTTATGGTTTAGTTTGAAAGGCTTTGAGTTTCTTTTTTAAAGTAAAACAAAAGTTTTCTATATCAATCTCTGAGGTTGTTTTGTTGTTATCCTTGCCAATCAGTATTAAAAAAAGAGATGATGATTATTATTTTTTGTCTGTTAACTAGCATTTGAAACATCATACATTTCTGTTTTAACAATTCTGATGTAAAACAGAAATAATAAAATAATAGTCTCTTTTTCCAAGGCTTCTGTGCAAGCAATCTATGATCTGCAACGTAGGTTTTCCCTACCTTTTTCATTTTACACACACATTTTATTTTTAAAAGAGTATGTGCATTCTGCTGCTTTCTTGAAGAGATCTAAGCCAGTTTATAAGACATTACTTGAAAAAAAACTTAGTGTAAATGGTTTCTAATCTCTTTAATTTTAGTAACATTACAGATATTGTATATTTCTTGTTCAGGTTAGGTATTTTTGATCTACGTTTTCAGACTTTCTGTGACAACACATCAATTGAATCATAGTCCCTATTTGTAGGATTAATATGTGCACATATTTCTATATGTTCGAATCTTACCAAGCTCAAGGTTGACTCAGCCTTCCATCTTTCCAAAGTCAATAAAATGAGGATCTAGATTGTTGGGGGCGATATGCTGACCCTGTAAACCGCTTAGAGAGAGTTGTAAAGCACTTTGAAGTGGTATATAAGTCTAAGTAATATTGCTATTTCTGTATGTTGTGCATAAGGGAATTAGGGTAATCAGATTTTACTGACTTCATGGACCATATTAAAAACAAGCAGATACAGCAGAAGAAAATATGTAAGTATTGCTTGGGCTGCATTGCTGATTGGGCGTGTAGCTCCAGCACATTGGGCAGACACCAGTTTAGATAAACCTGTTGAAAACATCTTCATTTAGGCTATTGCCTAAATGAACCCCCGGTCCATCGACTGGCAGCATGCCAGCAACCGGGCTGTGCAAACAAGTGAAGCTCCATCCGCAGGATGCTGGCTGCACACGAAACCATGCCCCTTCTGGTCTGCAGAAAAACCTCTCTCCATGGAACCAGTTGGGGGGCACTGGCCTAATATTCTCCTAAAAATGAAGTCCTCCCATGTATGGTATCAAACCACCAGAGAATTCTGTGTCAGAAAGCAGGAAATGAGCACAACACAAAAAGCTATATATATGAATCTAGTAATCTCGTACAGTTAAAGTAGTGATAGGCTATCTATGAACCATTTTGTATTTGCTTTGTGAAGTTGAGTGTCTGTCCACAGCTTGTTTCTAAAATGTGATAGTATTATTTTATTAAGCATAAATGCTCTTTATTGGAATGTGGTGGATTCTTTTTTTTTTTCCCATGGACCAACAAGCCATTTTTCCATTTCTGGCACAATTGGTTTCCAAAAATTGATGGCAGAGTTTGCCAACTAAAAATTGGCAGTAAATTGATATTTGAAGAACAGGATCTTTTTGTTTCTTTTGGTTTATACCTTGGCCTTGCTTATTTTTGCACCACAGTCAGACCCACAATTTGCGTACAGCTTTCAGAAGAAAAAGAAGTAAAATAATCAAGACAGCTTTTGGACAGTAAAAGTTACTTACAAAAGTAAGGATGCCGAGGGAAAAAAGAGCCTTTTGTATTATTTCTACAAACTTACAGGGCCCCATCACAAGTGCAGGCAGATGGGATAAAAATAGGTGCTGGCTGATTGCTATGTTTTTCAATGGTAAAACAGGTCAACACATACAATGTCAGATTGGCAGTCTAACTTCAGGCAGGAAGAGTAATCTGTTGCTATGTCCACCTTGGCACTATGTTGGGAGTAGCAATAAACTGAATGAAAGGACACCTTTTTCTCATTATCCATGAAGCAATCATCACACCATGTTGATTTCCATCCCCATCATATTTACCAAGTTAGTCTCTTTTCTTCATTCCACATAGATGTAAAATACATCAATAAAGTAAAAATGCAAATATTTAAGCAAACAAATGCAGAATATCCAGCTACAGGAAATCAAACTTCACTATTTTGTCTACTAATTAGTTATCCTAAAAATCCCATTGTTTTCCAACTGATAAAACACAAGAATACACAAGCACCTGTCCACACCTCCATATGCATAAAACAAAAAAAATAAAAATAGAAAGTTGATTATCTGCAAGGCTTTCATTATGCAGGTATGATCTAAATTTTTTTACCATTCTTATTCTTCAGATACCCATATCAGTTATGTCAGTTTATGAATGGTATAGTGTTTCCCTTCATGTCCTGTTTGATTCATTTCTATATATTTTTCTATTCATTTTAGAAAATATATCTAAGGAGGGGAGATGTGTGTGGGTGTATATATGTTTTACAAAATAAGAGTCTGAGTAGACAGCTATACTTCCTAATTAAAGTAAAAAGCAAACATGATGCAGAGATTTGTGGTTATCTTTTTTCCCCTACTCAGTGCCACATTGTGCTATTTTGAAAATCTGGGGAACCCTACTGTTTGGGGACAGGTTTATTATTCCCTGAATATTAAACTTTACAAATGTGCAAGTTTGCAAGCATTATTTAAAAGCTATGTTTCTTTTATACTTTCAAACAGCTATATTTTTGATAAATTGTATGGAAACTCCATCAAATAACTAATAAGAGCTCAATAACCTGACTTTGTCTGTGTTAGACTGGTATTGCCTTGTATTTTAACATGCTATAATAGAATGATGTTGCACAATTTCTTGTTATTCACTACATAATACCTACTCCTTTTGATATTTCTCCTCAGACCAAACTCCAACACCAACCCGGTTTTTAAAAAACTGTGAGGAAGTGGGACTCTTCAGTGAGATAGACTGCAGCTTAGAGCAGGAGTTTAGAAAGGCACAAGAAGAAGACAACAATAAAACGGTATGCCTTTATAGCATGGAAATATTCCTTCCCCACGTTCCTGTGATCTGGGTGAAAACAGAGCAAATCTTTTACCTGAATAAGGAAAGATGTGGGGGGTGGGGAAACATTTAAATTGGAAACTAGGTGGCACTATAGATTGTGACATGTCTGCAACCTGCTTTAAGCTGAACAGACAACCTGGATTTTAAAGGCAAACAGGATTGATTAACTAGTTCAATAGAAGACCACATAACTGCATTCATTTTGAGAACAAATGGAGACATTGGATACAAGTGCATGTGCACAAACACATATAGACTTCAAATCTCATGCAAAAGAAAAAGAAATCTAATTATGATAAATGAGGGAATAATTTTAAAAGTCCAAATTCTATAATCAATAGCTGCTGCAGCCATATTTGCTAGACAGATTGGTTAGCAATGCTCTATATTCAAAAGTGGTTGAAATTGTAGAACTCAAACTGAAGGTGGAATGTTTATGGTTTGCTTCCTTCCCAACGTGGAATAAATAACCCACAATCCACCAAACCAGCCAGACTTATTTGGCTGTAAGTTTGATGCTTCTATAAGAAAGAAAAGTTGCTTCTAGAAAAAAGTAGTAACCACATATACAATTGACTGTGCAGTGCACAGAATGAATTTTTGGAATATTGCCAGGTGGTTTGATATAATGGCATTGTAAGATTTTCACTTCTCTGTTTAAAAAAGTAGGGGAAAGGATAAAAAGTCTGATAGGACAGTTTTATGCAAAGTTTATGAGGCATTCCACCTCTTTATGAAAGATAATTTTTAGAGTTGCTTTTCAGTGTTTATTTAGCAGAAAAAAAGGTATGATTGCTCTTACATTGAGGCCACAATATCATGCCTCAAGAAAATTAGGAAATTAGCAAAGTTTCCATAAGATTATCATTTCTATGCAAAAAAAAGTTTTAAAATGGGCATTTTGTACAGGGTGTAATAGATCTTTTTGTCCATCATGTTGAGGATATGCTGGGGAAATTTAGTTTTAGTGATTTATATTAATTAAATCCAGACATCTCAAGGAAATGTGCTTGCAATGGCTTTTGTACAGTTTGAATAATTCACTGTATTTTATGTCTCAAAGGCCTATCAAAATATATTCATATATAATGATATAGAGTAAGGAATAAATGAAAATTGGAATGTTTAGAATACATATTTTGAGAGAAAATGTAGACATCATTTTTCTGATGTATATTTTTCCTCTTAAAATATAAAAGATGAGTAGAATGGATTTATTAGGCAACATATGCAAAAGCCATATAGAGTGAAAATAGATTGATTACACACAATAGCAATCCATTAGTGCTTACATTTATTCTGCACATAAATTTGATGGGGAAATTCCTTTCATTTCTTTTCCAGAGGAGAAGAAAAAAAATCATCGAAATTCTTAAGGAAGGATTGGAAAGTCCCTGTACTTATCTTAATAACAAGATGGCTCTGGTGTGTTGAATGCGTGTGCCCTTTTTTTCACTGTACAATAATCTCTTTGGTTGTCTACAGATTTGTTGGGTTCCTATAGTTGAATTAAATCTGAAGGGAAGATATCACAAGGGCTATAACCCCAGATCTTTTTGAAATTAGGAAGTAGAGACATCTGAAAGCTATGCCAATGAGAGACATATAATTCTCCTACCACTCCCCAAAAAATCACATTTGACTAAAATTTATTTAAAAATAAATTTAAAGTAAATTGTAAGAAATAAGTACTAGACTTTAAGACTCTTTTGCCAGGAAGAAAGTTTACAGAAATTGAAAATAAACTTCAACCCAATACTACCTAATTACTACTAGGTCAGACCCTTCACATGTTCAGTTAAATGTTTTCATAAAGTTTACATGCATATAGTCTTGTGATAAACCTAATTCATCACATATCCAATATAAGGATAGCATTGGAATTCAATACTTTCAGAATCTTCTGGATGCTACTGAAATACATAGAGGGTCACAACTTTTCAGGATGTATCTGCTTCTCTGCTTTCATCACATACACACAGACACACACACACACACACTCATGCATAAATAAGTATTTTTTTCTTGTCTGATGTCATCTACTTTTGGGGCAACTTATTACAACTAGTGGATCAGATCCCAGAATTCTCTACATGAGTGAATCAGGAAAATTTCAATTTTTATGTATCATTTATAAAGTACTTCCAATCTACATGGCACCTCAGAGAATAAATACAGCTGTCTCCCCCAATGACTTAATATGTAAATTTGAAAGAAACACAAAGTGAAGAAAGGGAAAAACGGAGTATTGAAAACAAGATATTGTTGAAAAAAAATAGTTTATGACCATAAAGGAGAGTTATATAAAATTAAGGACAACAGCTTCTATTGTTTTTAATCTTAAATTCCAGTAAACCATAGCAAAGTATAAGGCAGGATTAAAACAAACAAACCCTGAAGACTGTCTGTCTGATGCTTAAGTCAAAAAGCCATCTCTTGCTGACAGTAACTGATGGTAGTGCCTCAGACAAGAGAGTGCATCAGTCAGACAATGCAACCTAAAGCAGCAAGGTAGACAGTGTCAGCAGATCAGGCTACCATCTGAGCATCAGGCAACAGAATTTAGGTTTATAGTGTGCAAAAAGTCTACATAGCATTTGTTGTAAGTTATATTTGCAAATGTTTATGACCCTTTCTGCTGTTGAAGTATAACTGCTGGCAAATTGGCTCCAGAGCACGGCAAGAGGGCTGGGAGAATAAGGGCAAACCTGACAATCAGTATTGCTTTTATGCAGAACTGGAATAAGCCTATGAAGCATTAGGATATTACCTTCTTTTCTGTACTGCATGTGAGTAGAAAAAACAAGCAAATAGATTCCAATAAGCAAGTGCTGATACCCTTTTTGAAGTTCGTATATTCACTATGTTGAAAGTATGAGATAGGAATATTTTTAAAATATTGTTATTGTTATTATTGTCCATAATCCCAAAATTCTATTAATTGTGATATTATTGTGATCTTATTTTTAAAATGAATAATTCTTCTCTTATTTCTCTCATGATAACCCTAATCAGCCAACCCTAATGGTGTATGATGTGGAGCCACAATTTTTTAAAATTTTAATCTCATGGAAGTAATGGGTCCCAGATTTTGGACACATTGTGTAGGCCCATTTGAGTACCTTCGTTAAAAATTATTGCCCTGTGATGCACCTTTTTGCCCAATAGAAGGTTAAAAACAGACAAATGGACACAAGAGTTTTGGTAGTATACAGCTAAACTATCCTAGCCATATATATCCTGTGACCAGGATGGACAGGGTTTAGAAAATTGTGGTCCACACATCTGTAAATTAAAGGTGTTTTAGAGTACCCATTTTCAAATAATAAACATTTTAATAGATGGCAGTATCATATGGCTCTCTATATGGATTATTTAGCAATGCAATGTGTAGAGTGCTGAAGAGAGAGCATAGAAAAAAATTGCATTGTTTTGATTGTGCCATCTCAAGCGGTAGGGACTTTGCATGACTTTGCAGGCATCTTAGATTGTAGCAATATATTTGTCAAAGGTGTCAAACTGAGTACCTTATTTTATATATACAAAGAATTCTGCTGTGATAATCCAACTGGTATATGCATTTTTGTTCCAAAAGACTGTGAATCATAACAATGAAAGTGATGGAGGTGGGTGTGTATGGGAGTTGACACTTCTATTTTGTGGTTTTGTTGCATGATGACTCATTATAGAAGGATTGTAGGCTTTTAAAATAACACTATGGGGACTAAAACAATGTTGTATATCTCACTGCTTAAGAATATCAACGTAGTATAAGGATAAAGTTCAGAATGGAATGCAACTGCTAAACTGTCAAAATATCATTAGAGTATTAAAGAAGACCCAATATTATCAATCATAGACTCTATGATTGATAATAAACATATATTAATAGATATCATTAAGAGATATAATAAATAATAGATATTTAAAATACTTTTATGAAACATCATTCAGGTTTATGAGGTAAACATACCCTGGTTAGCTAGAATTTGAGCATTTGAAATACATATGTGTTGAGATTATTTAAAGAGTTAGAAAATAAATATTTCTACATTTTAATTTTATGTAATTTGCCAAGCTTCTTACTTCTTACTTCAAACATGTTATTGCATATTTCTCATTTATTTCAGTATTATTTGTCTGGAAGTTTCCAGGCATAAATATTCATTGATTCTTAGCATACTACATTTTTGGTTGAGGGACAATGTAATGAAACAGCTAAAAGACAAAACTATTCCCTGGGAAACCTCTGGTTTATTTCTCACTTCTCCCATCAATAGTCTGTCTTAAGTAAGTCCCATAATCTGCAATCTGAACAATATTAATTAATGTCTATATGGATATTTCCATAAAATAATAAGGACTTAAGCTTAACCCCAATAGATTTGCAAAATACTTGGAATGGTGAAAAATGCTAACTTTTGTGAAACCATTCTCTGACCTAACTTATTTTTTCAGGATGAGGAATGCACTTGTTCTTTCCATAATGCTTTGGAAATTCTATAAGTAAAAAAAAGATTAAGTCCAAAGAAAGGAAGGCTAGACAAAAGCTAATTTTTTGACCTGCAATGAAAATGAAATTAATCAAATGCATTTCATATTAAGAGCTCTGCATTTAATAATCCCTCTTGCCTTCTATCTCATTAAACATTACAATTCAGTGGCAACTTTTAGAAAGATTTTTTAGGACTATGTGGAATCTTTGAGGAGTCAAGTGTAAGTCTAGATCTCAAATTGCAAACTTTCATTTCATAGGATAATTTAGAAATATGGATTGTGGGATTTAGAGGTACCATAAAGATTTTCCAATAAGCAAATAATAAATGGAAGTTTGTGTTGGTGCAATTGTTTCAAGAGTGACTCTGAAAGCCAGCCACCATTAATAAGTAATTATGGTAGGGGCTATTCTGCTAAAGATGAGAGAATGGATTACACTTCCTTCTATCTGAAGATGCC